TGGAAACCTCTATACTGTTTTCCATGTTGGCTATTCTAATTTATGTCCTCATCACCAGTATGCAAGAAATCCTTTTTTCCACAGCCTCGCCAACATTTGTTATCTTTGGTCTTAAGTCGCAGCCACTGTACTAGGGAGAGATGGAATCTCATCGTGGTTTTAATTTGCATTTCTCTGATGATTAGTGATGTTGAACATTTTTGCATAATCTCATTTGCCAGTTTGCCGCTTGTATGTCTTTTTTTGAGAAATGTCTATTTAAGTCAACTGCCTTTTTTTTAAAACTCACAGTACCGGCGCTGAAACCCAAGGCCCTGCACATGCCAGGCATGAACCCACCACAGTTCTAGCGGTTATGTCACTGAGCTCAGCGTATAAAATTGAGTTGAGAATACATGAAGCAGGAACAGTAGGGTAGAAGGCTAGAGAAGAAGACGTGACGCTGTGCTAAGGGCCTGGGCTCATCCCTAAAGATGTGGAGCTCACGAAGAGTGTGCCTAGGTACATGATCCAGTCAGGTGCGAAGTTCTTTTTGAAAAAATTGCACTGGCAGCTTTAAGATGGATTTGTTGCAGTACAAAGCAGGAATCGAGGATCAGCTGGCTGTGAAACAATCCAGGGGAGATTATTTTGGAAGGGGATGTGGCAAGTAGATTTGAGAAATAATAGATTTGAAGAGATGAAGTTGGAAGAACCTGGTGGCAGATTGGATGATAGAAGGAAAAGCCTAGCGTGACTCTTGTTTTCTTCCCCCGGGAGGCCTGTGCAGATTGTGATGCCATTACACTTACCCATCAAGCATGGAAGGCAAAGAAGATCTGGGGTATTTAAAAGAATTCCCTTTTACAAAAGTTGAGAGCAGGGTAGAGGGAAGATAGATGTGGGAATTGTCACCTTATAGGTACTAGTTTAACTCTGGTGAGTAGATAGAATTTTCCAGTGGAGAAAAGAGTAGGAAACTAAAGAGAGAACCTGGAAATGAACCACGGGGAATGAGGATCAAAAGAAAATGTAATAAAGATTTTGGGGAATAAACAACACAGCAGAAAACAAAACAAAGACATCAAACATGTTGAAACAGAGGAATAGAATCACGAAAGGGCAAACAGACAAGGAAGAAAGAAATCCCAGAGATGGTCAGCTGTAATGAGGCTACTGAGACCAGCACTAAGAGAAATACTGAAATGCCCTTGACACTTAGCAGTGTGGAAGTGGCCGGTGACCTCTGTGAGAGGAGTCACCTTTGTGCGGGCTGTGAGGCCAGACGCTCGTGGACGGGTAAATGGGAAGTAAAGAGGCAGACAGCATGTGCAGACTGTGGCCTCCGGTGACAAAGAGAAGAGGGCAACAGGAGCGACGCAGTTGGTGGGAGGATTCGCATTTTAGATGAGACCGTTTTGTAAGCCTGTACAGAAACTAGGAGGAGAAGCCAGCAGAGTGGGGAGATAACACAGCAAAGTACATCTGATAACTGATGGAGCGGGTTCAGAGGTGTCAAAACGGGCTCAAGGGCCGGGATTTAGCGCAGTGGTGCCGCCACCTGCCTCGCAAGCACGAGGTCCTGCGTTCAATCCCCGGTACCAAAAAAAAATAGAAAATGGACTCAAACATGAACAGGAATGAGCAAAAGCAATTAGAAACAAGGGAATTCATTAAATTGATCAATTACCTTCTTATCAATAATGTTTTAAAAAAGAGGTACAATCAATCAAAAACAAAAGGCCTAGAAATTAATTTTTATAATTTATTTTATTTTAGATGAGACCGTTTTGTAAGCCTATACGTAAACTAGGAGGAAAACTAAAACAATATGCCTACTAAAAAGCATAACGTGAGTTAATGGAAAATGTTACCGTCTTCCAAAGACAACTTGACATTTTAAAGTGTTCCTTAAGCTTGTAAAGTTTAGTGCAACTCAAAAAAAACAAACAAACAAACAAAAAAAAACCCACTTCAGGTGCTTGAGAAAACATTGTGGAATGATTTTTAAAGTTCTTGAAAGAAGACATTCAGTAATATCCAGGCAAAATCTGAACAGCAGAAAGGTAGGTTATCATGGCGAAGCTATCCTAATAAAGGTTTGGAAAGAAAGGCAAGCATAGTAGAGGTAGTCTCAAGTTTGTGAGAAAAGAACAGATAACTGGTTAGCTATTTGGGAAACATAAGAATTGGAAAAGTAACTAAAATAGTTATACTCCATATTTCACATAAGTTCCTGATTGATCAATTGTTTCAACAACAAATAAAGACCATGAAAATACTTAAATTTAGATCCCTTGCTTTATAGATGAGATCATTGCCTTTTTAATACTGAAATACTATTACATGGACTTACTTGAATGTAACAGCATGGAGACAACTTTCTGATGTTTTTACTCACTGATCCTGAAATCACCTCTCACGTTATACTGTGAGATTGCATACACAGATAGCATGTGGGCTGTGGGTTTCTCGAAACTGCAGGTAGGGTCCCTGTGGGTGCCAAAGTAAGGCCTGTTTGGTGCTGTTTTCAGGATTGAGTCACAGGCCCCCCTCTTCTGCGGTGTCGCTCTGACTGGTCCGTTTTATGATCCCAGTCTTCTGTGATCTTAAAATGAAATGCAGGTACTCAAACGACAGTGAGCAGGAATCACCCTGCCTGTCTCCCTTTTCCCTATGCCTCCTCATATTTAGGTCACTTGATCACCCATGGAAGAAATTATTTTTCCTAGTAGATGAAGACATTCCAACAAGAAGTTTATCCACCCCACTGAATATCAGGTAAAACAAAAACAGACATAGGATCTGAATTTCATACATTAACCCACTAACTCCTAATCTCCCCTTCACCCGCTTCTTCACCAAAATATTGGCATCGGTCATACCTTTGAAACAAACCCATTCAAAGCTCTATTTAAAATTTATTTTCCAAAGTATTTATGCATTGTGAGATTTCTAGATTTTTTTTTCCTGCAAGCCTCATGTTCAAAATCCCTCCCTAAAAAAACTACTTGAAATCTACTCTATTCTAAGAGACTATGTACAATGGTGTCTCAAAATTATGTGTGCTTCTTATTTCTCATTTATTTTTTAAAGAATTTTAAATTAGCTTCTATGATTCTAAAAATATTGTTGTAGAAGCTTTGACAACCAAAGAGCAATGCAATAAAAAAATAGTAACCGTGTTTCCTAAGGGAGATCCCAACATGGTATGAATTTTGATTTTTTTTTTTTTTTTTTTTTTTTTTTTTTTTTTTGTACCAGGGATTGAACTCAAGGCAGGCGGTAGCACCACTGAGAATCCCTGGCTCTGCATTGTGATTTTGAATTCTGTATCTAACCATACAGAAACTTCACTCCTAAAGGCAACCATGCAGATTCATCATTGATGGGGGTTATTTTTTTAAGAGTGCTGGTTCATGATGATAAATTTACCACTTTGTCCCAGCCTACTTTAAAAGACTGTTGAATGAAAGAAACAGAGGAATTGATTCACTTCCCATTCGGCCCAGCAATCTTGATTTGTATGACACTCAGCTCAGTAATAGTTCCAAGATCTCAGTGGGTATAAGACTTGAAAGGTCCATAGAATAGTAAAAGCAATTCCAGGCGTGGTGGACGCCTGTGATCCCAGCACTCAGGAGGCTGAGGCAAGAGGATCGCTGTGAGTTCAAGACCAGCCTGGGCTATGTAGTGAGTTCCAGGTCAGTCTCAACTACATAGTGAGACCCTGTCTCAAAAAAAAAAAAAAAAAAAAGGCAATTCTAGGCAACAAAGACAAAGCAAAGAGTATCACAGTCCCCAACTTGAAACTATACTACAAAGCTACTGTGATTTAAAACAGCATGGTACTGGCAAAGAAACAGACCTGATGATCAGTGGAATAGATTAGAAGATGGAGAAACAACTCCAGACACACTCAGCCACTTCATCTTCAACAAAGGAACCAAACACCCTCACTGGAGGAAAGATAACCTCTTTAATAAATGGTGCTGGAAAAACTGGGTTTCAACTTGCCAAAGATTAAAACTAGACCCATATCACTCATCATGCACTAAACTAAAATCAAAATGGATTAAAAATCTAAATATTAAAACAGAAACACTAAACTGGCTGGAAGAGAGGTTAGGTAGAACTCTTGAAGACAATGGTGTAGGAAAAGATTTCATGAACAAAAAACCTCCGTCTCACGTGAGCTAGCACAAAGAATCAACAGGTGGGATCTCTTCTTATTACAAAGTTTCTGCACAGTAAGAGAAACCACCATCAGCATGAAGAGACCCACAGTGTTGGAAAGAAATTTTACCAGCTGTTCCTCAAAGGTCTACTATCTAGAATATATAAAGAGTTTTAAAAAAATCAAACCTCCCAAATTTAAAGACCCAGCCCAAAATGGTCATCTGAAATGAGCAGACATGTCTCAGACAAAGATGTAGAAACAGTCAAATGGGACCTCCAGTCCTAGTTCTCTGAGGTGTCTCCATGCTGACTTGCACAGTGGTTGCCCGAGTCTGCACTCCCACCAGCCGTGGAGCAGGGCTCCTCTTTCCCCTCAGCCCTGCCAGCATTTGTTATTGGTTGATTTCATGATAGCAGCCATTCTTTCTGGGGTGAGGTGGAATCTCAGCATGGTTTTCATCTGCATCTCTTGAATGACCAGTGATGTTGAACAGTTTTTCATGTGTTTATTTGCTATTTCTACTTCTTCGTTTAAAAAAAAAAATTTTTTTAGTGCATTTTTACAAGACCTTTTCCCTCAGCCCTGAGTGGTTCTGACATAGGAGGTCCTTGTGCCACTCTTCGAAAACCGCTCAGTTATGGAGTCTGTAGACAAGCGGTTTACCGTAGAGCTCAGTCACACCTGACAGGACTCTTACTAGGGAAGAGAAAAGCTCTGTCCTTTGATTTCTACTATCAGTGCTAGTTCTAGTAAGTGTTCTTGCAGTATACATAATTTTCATTACTGAGCCAGAGTCCCACTATTTAGATGAAATCAAATTGGCCCCCTCTAGGCAAAACCTGGAGTCTCACAGTCCTCCCTCTTCATCTTTTACTTAAACCCCGTCTTCAAATATACCCTTTTCCCAGTTACCTCTTTCCCAGTGGAGATGTTGACATAGTCGATGACTTTGCCAGACAATATCGCAGTTCCTCTTATCCATGGTTTCTGAAATATTAATTGGAAAATTCCATAAATGGAAAGGTTTTAAAGTTTTTAAATCCCCTGCTTTTCTGAATAGCGCGGTGAACTTTCACACCACCCACCAGAGCGCGGAGCATCCCACTTCAAGTGTGTGCAGGGCAGGCACGTGACCTTCTCATTGGTCAGTCAGTAGCCTGGCTCCCAGCCGCTGCCTGCCGTGGTATCGTAGTAATAGTAGTTGTGTTCAAATGACCTCCACTTTACTTGATCACAGCCCCAAGAATAATGCTACTGGCAGTTTTATTGCAGTACATTGTTATGATTGCTTTGTTTTAATTATTAGTTATTTCTGTTAATCTCTTATTTTGGCTAATTTATAAATTAAACTTTATCAGAGCTAGATATGTATAGGAAAATATAGTGTATATATAGAGTTCGATACTGTCTGTAATTTCAGGAGTCTATGGGAAGTCTCAGAACATAGCCATCATGGACGGAGGGAGATTACTGTACCTTTGCCAGTCCTCTCTGTAAAACTGACTTTCTCCAAGCTTTGTTGTAGCCCCCAGCAGCGCATTCATGGTGTCACATTCATCACACGAAATCATGAGCTGTAAAAGATTGACGCTTTCCACCAACCCACCACTCCTGCCCCCGGCTCTGTTCCCGCCTCACCTTTTCCAAAGAAACAGGTGGGAGAAAAGTGGAAGTAGCAGGTCTGGACGGGGCCCTGTCGGTTATCACACACTGGGGAGCAGAGCAGGCTGTCAGGTGTCTGCCTTAACCACAAGCCACCCCTTTAGCTTAGAAGATATTTCCTCGAGGACCTGTCTAAGGTACACTGCCTGCTTGGTATCTGGAGCCATTCAGATTTGGAACTATTGCATCAAGCTGTTTTTTTCCATGAACAGAATTCTGTAGGTTTTTGTTTTAAGAACTGGCCAGCGTAGCTCAGTGGTGCCACTGCCTGTTTCCGCAAGCGCAAGGAGCCAAGTTCAGTCCCTGACAACAAAACAACAACAAAGAATTGGCAAGAGCTTCTTGCAATAAGGGAACGGGTATGAGGCCTATATTTATGACTGAAAATTCTGAGAGTGGAACAATTTTGAGACAGCTGACTCTGCACTTAAAACTCTATATTTTGTTTCAGACCCACAGACTGCTCATTGTTCAGATGAGCACAGGCACGCATTCCTGAGGTCTGACCCAAGGCTGCAAATTCTCAGATGAGTGGGTCCGTGACAGCCGGGTCTCCAGGCCCAGTGCAGCCCACAGCCTTGCTGACAGCAGTGTCGGAGTGTTGTATAGCACCGATACCTGTGCCGCTCAGGTTGCTCCCGCTGTTGCCTGAGTGTAGGGCAGGGGTCCCAGGCGAGGAGCAGCTGCAGGTGGTGCAGAAGATTCAGCAGTGGCTCCGTTCTCCAGCTCGCATCCTGGTCGTCCACAATTCCATCTCACTTTATCCACCTCGCTGACTCTTCTTTCTTCTCCCTGGACAGCCTAATCTGGCCCAGATGTTGAGATTAGGAATTGTCGTTTCTGTTTCTCCCTCTCTCTCTAGAGTACAAGAGCAGGTGGGCCCCCAAAGAAAAAAGGCCCTCATCTCTTGAAACATCCGTGTGGGTGTGTCCTGTGTTCCTCTGGCAGCCATGTGGACCAGCACAGGGAACGTGAGCTCCCTGAGTCCCATACCAGGTACTCACATGCCCAGCCATGGCCTAGAGATACCTCCTTCCGTTCCGTCCTAGGGGCTACCCCGCAGTGCTAACACGCTTCTCCAAAGAACAGCTGGGTTTCTTTCGTCCTTTCTTATGCCCACACCCCTGCTCTACACCCTCTATAATGCATTCTTTAAATGAATTATAACTTCTAGTCTTTTTTAGGTGAGATGGTGGGTTTGGGTTTTTTTTTTTTAATTATTATTATTATCTTCTAGAGGTGCCTAATACGGTCGTTACAGATAAAGGGATAGTACGCTGCAGGGAGTTGGCTTGAGAATAAACAGGAAGTGGGAATAGTGGGTAGGGGTGGAAATGAAAGGTTTGTTGAGGGGTTGATAATATTCTACCCTTAATTATCCAGTTAGGCCATCAACCCTAAAGTAGTGATCTCGAAAACAGGCTAGTCTGAGTTTCACAAGATCGTGCCTGACTGCCACACAGTGCCACTGACCCTCTCACCAATGATGCGCTGCTCTATTTATCAGAAAGGAAATCGTGCTGTTTCCAAAACTCTTTTACCCCCATGTTTTAAAAAGAGAGGGAGAAAGCTCTGTGTTTTCTAAATTGCAAAAGATTTGTATGACCGAGAGTAGTGCTATGCTGTGTAGGTCTGTGACACAAGCTGTGGGAGGCAGGGCCGGGGGTGGAGGCATGAGAGCCAGGCTCTTATCAACAGGGAAGTTTGATAACCACCCCTCTCAAAGGTGCCACTCCCAGAAACTGCATGGGCTACTCTTAGGGAGCCACAGATCTTGGAGGAGAGAATCTTCTAGAACCTTCTCCATTTCCCATAAGGAGTTAAGTGGAGATAAACAGTCCTATTTCCTTCCAGTTTCTTGCAAGCTGCACTATTGCACATTGCCCTTTAGACTCTAACAAAGTGAAGCAGCAAGAGACTGTGGCCGTCCTGGTGGGACTGGTGAGCTCACTCGGCCTCAGTTAGTAGCGAACTCTGTTACCTTCCACCCAGCTCCGTGGGAAGGAACTTCTGGTAAACCTCGTCAGAGGAAATGCCTTTGCCTGCCACCCTCACAGGCTCAGTTTGTCTGGTCTTTCTATGGAGGACTTGGATTGGCAGGCTGTTTCCTCGCCAAACCGCCCTCTCTTGTTTAAGTTGCCAGAACTGAAGCCAACCTCAACAGAAAACTTCCCTGGCCTTTCCCATGTCACGCAACCCCAGGAATTCCAAGTGAAATATATCCCTTTCTGTCGCTATTTCTTACTGTGTGATGCAGCCGAAAAGCGTTCTGGGATACAGCCTGGTCTGTAGGGCTGGCTTGAGGAGTGTGATACACATAGAGTAAATGAGTTGAGCCCTTCAGTAAGATACAGAGATGTGATAAGACCTGCACCTACCTACCCTGCAGAGGCTTATGGGATAAGCAGGGGAAAGACAGGTATTAAAGTGATAAAATTGCCATGATAGTCATTGTATCTTACAAAGTTCTTAGGAGGAACACAAAAAAAGGGAGAAGTCCATGCTTGGCTGAGGACCCAAAGGAGGACGGGGCAGGCTTCCTTTAGGAAGTGACCTCATAGAGTTAAATCTTAGAAAGTGTACAGTGCTCATAGGAGACTGTAAAGAGGGCCTGGCAGCTTGGCTGAAGCAGGACAGGTTAAGAAACAGAGGGGAGGGTTCAGTTTTATCCTGTAAGCAATGGAGAACCATAACCATGTTAAAGCGGGCAGAAGAAAGATGTGATCATATTTGACCTTTTCAGAGATTATAGGGGAAAATGATCTTGCATGTGGATGAAATGAAGTGTCATATGTAAAGCAAACCGAGGGATAATGATCCAGGCAGGAGACACTAAGGACCCTTATAAACGAGCCAATCTAAAGAAACCTAGAAAATATCAGGAGGTAAAATCCACAGGTCTTGGCGTCCAGTTGGGCTTGGTGAGAGAGTAACTGAGATTGCAGTAGTATGTTTCTCGCTCATCCTTGCTGTCTGATCTGTGCCTTGCGTATGAACCTCAAAGGTTTGCAGGAGGGTGGTGTGGTAACATGGGGTCGTGGGTGCACATGGTCTGTGAGAACAGCAAAGCACAATGCAAGTATAAAGTCATCATCCTGGAAAATTCAGCAGGAATGGGTGGCAGGCAAAAAGGAGGGGACAGAGAGGTGCTTGAAAAAACATGTTTTTAGTGCATTTAGAGATAATGTGTATCTGTGTGGGAAAAATTAAGGACAAAAAGTGAAGGTATTAGATGTAAAGCTAATTAAAATTTGTTTATATTCAGCACTTATCGCTTATAAATTACATTAAATCCAGTTGTTTTATCCCATACAAGTTAAATTCAAGATATTGACACAAACATCTCTTTTCAACAGCAGTGAGGAGTTACCATGAATTCTGCAATTAGTCTATAGCTTGACACAGATAAAAATTATAATACATATTATATTTATATTGTTATATTAATAATATGAAACAGCTCAATATATTGACACTTCTGTGTGTAAAATGGGTAAATTCTGGGAAAATCAAAGGTAATTCAAAGATATCCTTAGGTAGCTTTCATTTACATTTTAAAACCTCACAACTGAAAATCATAAAAACTATACTGTCTTTTATTTTTTGTCATTAGGAGCGTGAATTGCTCTTTCCTAAAGTAAATATAACTGGTTAAGGGGTGTTTTGGCTAAAGTAAAGCCTTTTATAGAAATTTCCTTCTCTGATGTATAAACATACTATTTTTAAGAAATGACAGCCCCTTTTCTAGAAGCACCATTGATTTTTTTTTTTTTCTTACTCATTTTATTCTCTTTATCACTTTTTTATGCTAGGTCTTGCTGTGCTGCCCAAGCTGGTCTGAACTTTCTCATGCCTTAGCCTCACTACAGGCTCGCCCTCACCCAGCCAGCTAATTGTATTTATCGGAAGAGTGGTCCTGCGTCTTGATAACACCTGCCATTGAAACAGTGAGGGTTTTCACGTGAGCCAGTGATGTCCTTGTTCCGTGCCATGCTGATCGCCAGGTGTGATGTGACCTGCAGGCCAGGCCGGGCTCTGGGCAGTTCCTGGCTGGGGCAGCCTTGCAGACCTCCTGCGCTGTCTTCAGACCCTGCCACCTGCGCTGTCAGATCAGAACCCAGAAGACAAGGAAGTAGCACTGCCCAGTTTGAATGAGGGAGAAACAAAGCAGACAGGTTTCCCCAGCACTGTTCTAGGCCTTTAACTCTGCCTGGACTTCTAGCTCACTCTGATTTGTGATCTGTTTTGTTTCTCCTACGTGGCACAGAAAGACAGAGTTACAGGAAATGAAGGGTCAGGAGGGAAGGGAGGGCTTTAGTCACCACGCATGCCAGCCCGGGTGTCAGGAAGTGGCTTCTTGCCAGTGTTTCAGGCCCAAATCCTTCTCCCATTGCTGAGAGCTGGAGTAGCACAGCTGGGCTCCAAGGGGACGGGCCGTCCTCAAAACAAAAGCAAACATCGGGCTCTCCAAGTCTGCTTCTAACAGCCCTGGTTTTTGTTTGTGTTCTAACCTCAAACGTTACCGCACTATTAATAGGTAAAATATTCCCTTTTGGTCAAAGACGTGTATTACTGGCCTGATGCAATTTACTGTCTCCTACCCAATAAAATTCTTGATGATGGGTTTAATTCCACAAAGACCCCGATGAGAGAATGGAGATTTAATTCAGGAGGAATTTCTATGGACGTGAGGGACTGTTCTGCCCGTGAAGTTCATTAGTAGCACCTCTCTCTGGGGCTCTCACTCCTCCCCTTTCTCATGGTTAATTCCCCCTTGGTCTTCATTCCTTCTTTTCCTGGAAGAGAAAATCCTGGTGTCTTAGTCCATTTGGGCTGACTTAATAAAACGCCACAACGGAAATTTATTTCTAATACTTCCTGGAACTGGAAATCCATGGTCCAGGTGCCAGGGAATTCCGCCTCCGCTCAGGATCTGCCTCCTGGTTCCGGTCACCTGTCTCTTAACCCCACTCACCCGCGATTGACTCTGTTCCTGAGAGTTTCACTTTCGTGACCTAATCACCTCCCCAAACTTGGCTGCGCCTTCCCTGCACGTGTCCAGATTT